ATATAAACAAAGATAATAATAAGGAAATAATAAATCGATATAGGATTACAATTGCCCCTCTTTTTTATAAGAGCTGCCCTCAGCGATTTTTCGTTCCTAATTCAATAAAATTTTCGTTCTCCCTCCCCCCCCCTTTTGTTGAAATGGGCTCCCTAGCTTTAACCCTAATCTCGTGGCGTACAACAGTCGGATTCCGTGCGAATGTTGTGCCCCCAGACTTGGGGATGTCGATTTTTGGTGTGCGTTGGGGCCCAATGCCTGGAAGTGTTGTGAGGCTTGTGCCTCTGCAGGAAAATCCTGCAAACCTGTGAGTGTCTCTCTTTGATTTCTATTTCCTTTTTCCCTTCCTTCAAATTTGTTTTTTGGATAGATAGTAGTGCTCTTAGCAATGTTGATATATTGATAATGGTGTTAGGTGTGTGATACGCCTCTTTTGAGGCACATTATGCGCGGGCGAGCGTTTATTTTCGCAGGGGTGGCGGCCGGGGAGGATATGGCCATCCACAAAAGTCGCCTTCATCGTTTGGTAAAACGATTGGACGCACCTCGCCTGGCGGCGTTGTCTGCTCGGGGCAGGGCCGGGGCGAATGCCCTGTGGTCCCAGCGCCGGGCGGCGGCTGAGCCTGCAGGGGTGCAGGTTTTGGAGGCAGTGGTTGTGCCTGGTCCTTCCAGGGCAGAGGTGTTAGAGGAAGAGGAGGGTGTGGAGGAGAATGTGGGGGTTTTGGAGGTGTCGAGCTCCATGGGCTCCGTGGCGGAGGGGTTGATTGAGGAGGGGTTGGCTGGAAAGGAGTTGACAGAAGAGGAGCTGGTGGGAGAGGAGCTGGCAGAAGAGGAGTCAATGGAGGAGGTTGTGAGAGTGCTGATGACCACAGTGCCACTGGCGTCTGTGGAGCAGGGGGGGCGGGTGCCCCGGACGGTGGAGGAGTGGGATGAGGGGGATGGTGGGAGGGAGAAGAGGAAGTGAGAGATGGGGGGTGAGATGAGGGTGGGTGAATTGAGGGCCTTTAGGCTTTCCTTAGAACCCATTTCCTTTTTTTTTTTTTTTTTTTTTTTTTTAGTTGTGTAGTTATTATATGAATTTTTTCCTTTTCCTCTTTTCCCTGATAAAATCCTTCTAAAAAAAATGCATTTGATTGGAGTTTGGGTGAGATTTGCGCTTCTAGCGTTTTTCAACTTGAGATTCGCGCTTTTGATGTTTGGGAGTATGTTGATTTTGTATTTGTCATTCATTTTCTTGTTCAAGGAAGATTTTGAATGCCAAGAGTGTTTAATATGTTTTCTTCTGGTTCTCATGTATCACCACTAGGTCCCCAACCTGTCCATCTCACAAGATATTCCGGAGGTTTGTTTTTTCGTTGTCGTTTTCAAAAATTTCCTCAACTTGGTATTCTTCTTCGCCGTCGACAAGTTCCGGTCCTGGTTCTGGTAAAGCTCCATTCCTGCGGTTGTATGGCTCCAATAAAGAAACATGGAATACAGGATGGATGTTTCTATATGAAGGTGGCAGTTTCAGTTTGTACACTTGTTTTCCGATGGTATTCAGAATCTTAAAGGGTCCAACATATTTATGGTCGAGTTTACGAACCGGGCGTAGTAATCGGAGGTTTTTTGCATTGAGCATGACGTAGTCACCTATTTTAAATTGTTGAGGCTTATGTTTTGCATCGTAATAGATTTTCTGTGCTTGTCGCGCTTTTTGTAGGTTCTCGATGAGCTTGTGGCGTGTTTCCTCAATATGTTTCGCGCGGCTAGCAGCATGTATGGCAACCGGTTGTGGTGGTTTGCTGACGTTAATTTTCAAATCAGGTCGATATCCCATTAAGGCTTCCGCGGGTGCCATTCCAGTAGAGGCATGTTGAGAGGTATTGTAAACAAACTGTGCTAGTGGTAGCCAGCGTGCCCAGTCATCTTGATGATAGTTGACAAAGCATCGGAGATAGTTAATGTTCCAAGGTTTGATTCTGTCGTTCCGTTTGGCCATCTGTTTGAGGGTGAAAGGCTGTCGAAAGTTTCCGGCGTGCGCCTAGCATGTAACAAAAGGTGGACCAGTAATGGCTTGTAAACAGCGAACCTCAATCAGATATATGGTTTTTAGATACTCCATAAATTGTATAGAACTTGGTATAAACGATTTCCGCTAGCTCATCCGCTATAATGTTGTTGGTGCAAGGAATATAGATCGTAAACTTGGTATATATATCCACAATCACTAAAATCACATCGTAGGTTTGGTGGAGGAATGTAGAGGCTGGTAAGCCTGTAATAAAATCCATAGTAATGGATTCAAAAGAATTTGATGGTAAGAGAATTGTACCCAACTCTCCATATTGTCTGTGCCGTTTTGGCTTAACTCTTTGACAAGTTCACAAGTGGATATATAATCTTTGACATTTCTGATTAGCTCATGCCAATAGTATTTGTCCTGGATGCTGTCTATGGACTTTTTTATGGCATACGTAGTCAATAATTTTCCGGGCTGGAATAACCTTCGGCGCGGTTTTGACCATAGGCCATGTCAAACCCCCCCATCAACCCCCCGCCATTAAAACTACATGCACTAGTCATGTCTCATACATATCTCGCGCATCTCTACGGAGTAAAGTGCTCTGAATGCTCCAGAGACAGTGATTGTATCATATTTCTCAGAGCTCTATTTCTTAGCTAACCTGGATCCTAACTCTAGATTACTAATTCTAACTCATAATTATTTTTTCAGATGTTAAAATATTGAAATAGTTATCCCCTCGTCCGTAGGTTTGTGCAAAATTAGCGTGGTTTCAATTAGTGTATGGAATTCTGCACCGGCGCCCTGGGCATAACCAATAGAATCCTATATAATTTTATATGAATGATAATTGGTCATTTAGATCCACTGATTGAAGATCCCATGTAAATCTTAAGAATGTGTATGGAATTCAACGCGTTTGAAGCCCTGCCTGTCTGCCTGCCTGCCTGATTCTCATATATTCACCCACCTATCCCCCTACCCGCGAATATGGAACCCCCCAAACCTGCGAACGTGGAATCCACTGAGAAACCTACTAAATCCAATGGTGAGTTCCTTATATTAATCAATTCAAATGACATAGCTAACTAATTCATTCTCTAGTTCATACAAAAACATCAAGAAAATGAAAACGGCCTGTGGAGGAGGTTATTGCAGAACTTCCACCTCTAGAATCAGTGAAATTCCACCCAATACCGCCTACCTCATGAGATCCAATTCTCAATATTTCTGCAAATATCAATATTAGCAGTCATATGACACCCTGTTTACCTTATTCTTCTTGAGAAATGCTTCAAGAA